GCTGCCACCACCTGGCCCAAGTGCAGTCCTGGCCCAACCCTCCCCCCACCATGCACTGGGAAGAGTCCAGCACAGCCCTGACCCCAACCCACAGCTACAGTCCCCTTCTTGCCACACAGATCTGGGGGTACATGCCCCCCCATGCCCTCCCAGGGTGTATATAGTGGCAGGAGCCATCCTCCCAACCCTCCTCCTGCCCCCTAGATGAGCAGTGGCTCAATCCCATGCCACAGCCTGCCGCAGCTGGGCAGCGCTTACCCCAGCCCCTGCTCCAGCCCCACTCCCTCCCATCAAGATCTTCCCCTCCCATGCCCCTTCCCTCTCCCCTCCCTGTTCACCACAACAGACTTACCAGTTGCACACAGCTGCATCAGAAATCAGATCGGTATCAGCCAATATGCCTCCTTAAAAATCAGCTATTGGTATCGGGCCCCAAAATCGCTATCGGTGAGCCCTAGATACCAGTAGTGTCAAATAAGGCTGTTGGTGTCAGTCACATCATGTTCAAGAATATAGCCAACTTGAGAAATCAGGAGAAAAAGGTCAATTGTAGTTGGGGTGTACAAGTAGCAGGGAAACTGGCAGAATGGTACAAGAAGTCTTTGTCCTATAGGAAGTGTCTTGGGAAATGAAGCTCTGAGAGCAAAGGAGCCTGGCCTGTGGATAGTTTGCTTTCTTTTTGTGTGTTAGAAAGATCAGTGACTTTAAATATATGACTTAAATGACCATGGTGGGGAGGGCAGAGGGACATGCACAGCAGCTGGGCATACAAACAGTTTGTGTACTGGGACATGAAAAGAAACTGAGATAAGGAGAACAGGGAATTATAAAGAACAAGCAGAGGTCTCATTGGTATGACTTTTTGATCTTAAAGGTAATATGTGATTCCAGGTAGTTCAGCAAGGAAAGTACATACCTGTCCTGCCCAAAGCAAATTGACACCAGGCATCTTGCTAGCATCACACTTAAATGCTTCATCACTTGATTTCTTCTCTTCCGCAGGGTCATCTGAGTGAGGGCTATGGACAGCTATGCAGCATCTACCTCAAACTGCTGAGAACAAAAATGGAATTCCATATAAAAGTGAGCCTGCTTGCCCATTCCACTTCCTTCTCCAAACAGATTATTTTCTAGGTACCCTCTGAGGCGTTGGGTGTTGGCTACAGCCAAGGCTATGGATTGTGGCTGTGGTGTGCCAGTGCTCCTGCTGGGACCGAAGCCGGAAGTTCCTGGCTAAAGGGTCTTGCCCTTCTGTTCAGGGTTAGGCTGATTGCTGTATTTGGGGCCAGGAAGGAACTGGTCAGACTGGTATGGACTGTGGGGATTTTTGTCTTCCTCTGTAGTAGGGGGCATGGGCCTCTACTCAGGATCTCTTGAGCATACATTGACAACATTTTATAGAAGCAGGATATTGACTGCTGTGGTTCCCCTCCTTTACCTGTGGCAGGTTTGAGAGTTAGGTCTGTGTTGTGTCAGGGCTGATGGTAGTCTTATGTAGAGTTTAGATTATGGTTTGTATAGGATAGTTTAGATAGGGATGGTAGGATGTTAGAGTCCCTTCCAGCCCTACTTCTCTATGATTTAACAGTTTTATGATTCTACCCTGGTCTGGTTTCATTCAGTGAATGAAAGGGGCTCCTAGAAGTTCCACTCCTTGGGTTCCCCATGTGTCCATGCTTCTCTATTGGGAGGTAGGCTGGAAAGCAGAGCTATCACTCATATTGCACCACGTATCATTTGCTTTTCAGCCAGAACATGTCCTTAGCAAGTCAGAACTGAGCCCTCTTTACTGACCTCTATCTAGCTCTGGAGATCTAGAGATGATTCTTGCGGTCCTTTGGGTCAACTGTTAGCATGATGTTGTGGAGTCTTGTGTGTTGCCCAGTCCCAAAGCCAAATGACCCTGCTGGGATGTAGAGTACTATCTTGGTCCAGAAACTAAAACTGATCCTTCAGTTGTTGGTACTGTGTCCTGCTGCATGTGCTGGTTGGCTGGAGGGGCAATCTGTGAAATCAGTTGTTGAGCTCCTTGCTTCATAGCATGCTCATTCTTAGTTGAGGTCTCTGCCAGGAAATGCCAGGCCTTGTACTGTTGTTTGCCTTTGCATTGAGGTACAGCATTCCAAGCCAGCCACATACTGAGAGAGCTGGACATTCTACCCCAGGGTGGGCAAAATGCGGCCCGGGGGCCCCTAAAAAAACAGCCTTTCTATCCGGCCTGTGGGGCCCCGAAAAATTTAGAAAATTAATATTAATCTGCCCTGGGCTGCCTGTCATGCAGCCCTCAATGGCTTGCCAAAACTCAGTAAGCGGCCCTCTGCCCAAAATAATTGCCCACCCCTGTTTTACCCTGTGGTAGAATGGGCTGGGCAGTGTACCAGTGGTGCATTGGGAAACTCTCTGTATGCTGAAACACACACGTAAGCTGTAAAATTACACAAATGCTGTGAGTATTGAATGCAAAACCTAACTACACAAGGAAGCTAGTGCACAGTAAACTGGAGCATGAATTTACAGCACAATCTACCCACTCTGTACTGACTCCCCCCTGTGGAGCTCCCAGGGCACACTGAGGCCCCTGGCAGATATAACATTTATTGTGCAATCACCGTGTTAATCACAGGATAAGCTGTAACATGACATGTTTAGCCAATTTATTGCACCCTAAAATGACAAAAATGTGTTCCATATTTTGGAACTTAATATGGAGCATCTTTGTGGCTGGTTTGTATGGCACATTAATTTGAAAGTGTAGCATGTTATGCCTTGCCCTCATCAGTTTCTCTACACGTCTCTTAAACTGTGGGACTCCACACTGGACAAAGTATCCCAGCTGAGGCCTAACCACTGCTATGTAGAGTGGGTCTGTTGCCTCTTGTGGCTTACATAAAATAATGCTGTTGATGCATCCCCAAAAGTGAATTTCCTTGTCTGTAACAGCATCATACTGCTACCTCAAGTGGAGTTTGAAATCCACTATAACTTCAAATCCTTTTCAGTAGGGCTCCTGCCAAGCCAGTTAGTCTCGTTTCTTATACTTCTGCATTTGGTTTTTGTTCTCAAAATACAGTACTTGACATTTGTCTTTGCTAAAGTCTGATGCTTTGCCAACTGAGTTATCCAATCCAGGCAATTAACCTGCACTTGAATTTCAGCTGTGCAGTTATAAAGCATTTGCTCCCAATGACTCTGAGCAGTTGGAATAGCATAATTCTGGCTGACTTTTTACCTATCTGAATTCTTGTGCCCAGCATCTCCAAAGCTCCCCCAAGCAGTGCCAAGACCCTGTGTCTTCCTTTTGTACCAGTGTCTAGTTTCTTGCATCATAGTTGACGTGCTCAGCTGAACTCAGTACCGAAAGAGTCCTTATGTCTTAGTTCTTCCCTGGGATTAAAAGTAACCAATGGAAAGGAGCCTTGCGTGGTTTTGGACTCAGGTGTGAGAGGCAACTTTCTCTCCCTAGAGCACTGCAGCATTTGCGGTCTGCAGAGATGTTCCTGCAGGTAGGTACCTCCTTTTCCCTAAAAGGAAAGGAGATTAATGGCAGGCAAGGCCTATGACATTAGGACTTGTTTCTCCCTCTGGATCTGTCAGATCACAGATGTTTAACTTCTTGAAGCAGGCTGCAGGACCGAGCTTTTCTCTGGTTGATGAGTGTTGATGGAAGGCACTCTCTGTATCGCAGTCATTAAGGGGTTCAGTACAAACCGACTGTTATCATCCTAATCCAAGGAGGTGACTATTGAGATGCCCAGATGTTTCAGTATTGGGGACATGAACCATATCTAATTTCTTCCCAGAGAACACTCCAAGTGTTCATCTTCTGAGTATCGTCTGTCTGAGAATGATATCTGCTTGTCTGAGTTACTTTTTATTAGCCCCCTTCCAGGCAACTCCCTGCATTGCCTTGTGCTTTCACTGTCCCAGCTTCTGTTGGAATGCTGAGCTGCTGCCAGACTGCAAGGCCTTCTCCCCTGAGCCCTTAGCGAGCTCAATTATTCTTCAAGTAGAGCTGACGGCAAGCATGCATTGATGGAATGGGGGCATCCCTTGTGCAGTGCAGCATCTCCCTAGTGAATCCATCTCTAACTGGCAGTAGACCACTGCACACAAATGCAATACCCCTCCCCACAACCTTGATTCCCTCCCCTCCATACTGCTGTGCAAGGATGGGAAGCAGATGTGTCCTTAGGGTTGTCTAGTTAGGAACATTTTACCAGTTATCCCCCTGTGACCACCCCACATGTGAACGCTTTTACTCTGCTATAAGAATGAGAACTTTCAGTATAGCTAAACCTTCCCCAGTGACAAAAGTGTACTCCAGGATAGCTGCATTGATCTAAACTCACCTATTGGGTTTTAGGTTAAAAAGTGCCCAAAGTCCTAAGACTTTGCTGTTGAAGAGGGAAAGTCAAGTGGTTATTGAAAGTAACTCTTCTGAGTGATCTGTCCCCTAGGCAAAAAATACCAGCTTGTAGTCAGGAAGTTGGACACCCCTACATATTCCTCTATGGGAGGTATTGGGTGGGGGAGTGCAGATAAGAGCTCTCTGGACTCTTGTACCAAGATACTGCCTCCCTGGGTTCCTTTTCTCCATGGCAACATTGCTCCCTCTGGAAATCCCACTGACAAAGGCCCCAGCACAAATGGAACCCATGACACTTTATCCCAGTTTGCTCAGCAGCAGTCCCTACAAAGACCCAAATATGGATTCATGGGGGACTGACACTACAGAACAACTTGTGCACACCTGCAGGGGCTGGGGTCTACAGAAGATGACTGGATATGTGGGATCCTGTGACATTGAGAAGCATCCCATGACGCCATTGCTTCCTTTGTCCATACTCCCTTGCTGGCTTCCCTGAGTTGGATCCTTCCATGAGTGTTAGCTGAGAAGAGGATCTGGTCATCTGTTCTCAAACAGGGAACTGAAACCTGGCCAAAACACCTGCTGGAAGCCTGATTCCTGCATTCATGTGCCTGGGTTTCTCTCTGAGCAGCACAAGAACTGACATGCAATAGGTTTCAACATCTGCTTCACACTATGCTGCAAGGAAATACGAGCGTACCAGTGCGGTTCATGAGGCTTGCTCTTCAGGAATGATGCTTGCCCCAGAAATTTATGCTAGACAACACCACAAAGCTTCTTCAGGTCTTGGGTTCAGTCCAGCCCTTTCAACCTGGCCTGCCCATGGGCATCCTTTGTCCACAGACTCCCAGAAAGTCCAGTACATAGTTGCTTGTGGGGAAATTGAGCTGAACTGCAGCCCTGTTCTCCAGGGAGCAAGCAGTGCCCCAGTCCATAATCTGATTCCATGTCTCCCCACTCAGTGCAGTTCCAGGGTTTCAGAAGTCTCTTCCAACTTGTTACTTACAGTAAGAGTTTTCTTTCAAGAAAAAGATTAAAAATATTGGTCAAATATGCTACAACTTTATTGCAGTTAAATTCAGACTATTGTGTTGCCTGTCATGCAGCCTTCTGGTAAGATTTTACACTTTGACTGGTGTCTACTTGCACTCATTAAACATCCCTGAGCACTGTGCTTATGAATTGGAGCAACAATCCCATTGCCCTGGCTGAATTCCAATGTGGCTAATTACAGGTTTCATACTGATAATTGCATCCCATCCCAAACTCAGGCACACTGCTGCCATGAGCAGTGCAAGGTGCTACCATTCACACCAAGGGTGGATGCTAGTCTCCATGTATGTCACTGTGTTCTTATGACAATAGGTGTTATATTAACACTTTTTTTTCTTAAATTGGCACTGGAAGGGAAGCATGGGTGAGCAGAGGACTAAGCCAAACTAGGTCTCTTCCCTATCTCTTTTTTGTTTGTACCACAAACTCATTTTGCATGTGGTTAGAGCTGAAATGCCCCACAGCTTGAGCTGGGTAGGAGAGGAGTTGTGGTTTGCGTTTTGGCTGCCGTCAGGTCTGCCATTGTATCTTCTAGCCAGTTTGCCCAATTGTGTCCCATTTAAAAACAACCTTGGAGGGTGATGGAGAAAGTATTTATAAAAAGAAATCTGAGTGAACCGTTTGTGTATCCTGAGAAAAAAAAGCATGCATGTGCTGCTCATACTGCTAAAGCAATTGCTTCCTTATGCCTATGGTATTAAAAGGAAGGATTATCTCTAATAAAATAATGTACAGTGTGACCTCCTTCTGTATGTGTTTAAAAATAATACTGAGCACTTGCACAGCAATTGCCTCCATGTATTTTAGAGTGCAGTAACTTGTGATAATAGCTCGCTGCAGTTTATGTGGCATTTGGGCAATATCTGTTTAAAACTGCATGAACATAAGTATCCTCTAATGCAGTATTTTTACCCATGAAAGTCTGCAAAAGATAGTGCCAGGGGAGTCCTGCAACAATAACAAGATTCCGGGGCTTGTATACATCCATGGACTGTAGCCCAGTGCTTGCAGGATCCGTGGTATGGGATTACACTGCACCATCACGCAGTGGGGGGCGGGAGGGATTTGCATTACCTCTTGGGACTCTTTATTATAATTACTTCTAATTGGCTTACTACGTAAGAGGGGCCTGACTCACAAACACCTTAATCTTCCTAAAATCTAAATCTAATCAGAGCTGTATAGTCCTCCTTTGAAACCATCTGGAGAGGATAATCTGATTATCAAGGTGACATGTAGAAGAGGCTTCATCTTCTGGAGCAATGGCGCCAGCTCTTCCCCATGCACACAGCATACAGACCCTCCGCATGGTCATTACTTCTGCAGCTAAGAACATCCTGGTTCTTATGAAATCTGACTGAAAAGTATCAAACAAACAGGCTAGATGCTGCTCAGCTGATGTAGTTGCCCTGCTAGCCTGTATCCCTCTTTTTGCAGGACCATAGGACCAGTAGTCTAGGCATCAGTACAGAAAACTGGAGGGCCCAACGGAATGGTAATGAGATAAGGATCTTAAGTGTCTTGCTTTCCCACTAGCTGTCTGATGGCCAGTTTGACAAATTGCTGGCCTCTGTTTAGTTTCTGGTGAGTAATTTTCCAAACTACACTAAGAACCTCTGAGTCTCATCAGGGGCCATCGGGGACTCTACTCCCCTCTTACCCCTAGGGGGCAGGGTTAGGCAGCCATTCCTGGCATCCTACCAGGAGCAGGTAGCTCTCTAAAAAGGTTGAGAACCTTTGGACTCAAGGGCCCCCTACAGTACTTTTGGGAATTGAGCAGCACCCGATTTTAAAAACTAATTTATCTGTTACAGTGTTTATCTCTGCAGGGGGCTGGGGGAACAGCCAGGCAGTGATGAGCCAGAGCCTGCAGTTATCTGCTTATCTCCTCGCACCTCACAATACCCTTTAAAACATCTTGCAGTATCCCAGCTGAGATTCACTGCTCACTATTTTGCCAGCTTGCCTACTGGTCTCTAAGGCCTCAGGCCTCTCCTGGAGACAGCAGCAAGTGGCAGGAGTCACCAGTCTATTCAGACACGCTTTGGAGAAGGGTGCGTCTGTGCTGAATTTAACTTCCCTAGATGTGGCGATCTCTTTCTTGGGAGTCCCTCTCCTCCATCAGGCCTCAGAGGCTCTGCAGAAGCAGAAACAACCTGTACAGCCTGCTGAAGGAGCGTGAGCAGTCAGCAGTGAACAAATACTGTTGTGGGGCAGGGAGGAGTGAGAAGGAGTTGCCCTCATGTGGAGCCCTGAGCTTTGTCAGGGCAGAGTTCTCCCATATAGTTCTTTCTAGTTCAGAGCAGCACTGCTACGTGAAGTTGGACTTTGCTGAATAACCTAGGGATGGCCATTTAATGTGCTGTGCAATGTGCTAGGCTTTGAATACTGCTGACCCATGATACTTGGATAGGCAGAAACCTAGTGGCCTTAGGTTGCTGTCTAGTTCACTTGAGCCCTATAATGCACATGTTTGTATAATGCAGTAGTATCGCCCTGCATTTAATATGACTCTTTGGCACTCTTGATGGACCCAATGGAGTAACTTCTAAAAGCTAAGGGAGGAACATTGGCTGATGGGTCTTCGTCTAAGGGGAGGAAGTTGTTCTGTGCAAACCTGAGCAAAGCACAGCAAGTGAAATACAGTCCCCTTCCTTACATCCCCAAGTTTGGGAGCCAGTTTTGTACCATGCCTCCACCCAAAAAAGAGGGAAACTGATCTGAACCTTTGGGTGTCAGAGGCTGTTGCCTTTCACATGTGAGAAAAGGGGAGACTGATGATGCTTGTACTGGAAGCCATTACCCTCAGTTATCATCAGAGTTGCCTGCTTGGTCTCCACTAAGTTCAAACCCAGAGCAGTAGTGTTCCCCCAGAGGCCCTTTTCCTGACTCCCTCCTCTTTTTCCTCCTGTGTAGAACCCTAGGTTCCCTGGCAATCTCCAGATGTCTGACCGGCAGCTCGACGAGGCGGGAGAAAAAGATGTCAATAACTTGTAAGTCCGGCATATGTGAATTGGGGCACTATGAGGAACAATTTCAGCCAGTTCAGAGGACCCAAGTTCAGGGGGTGCCATGAAAGGTCTCCATGAGCAACCGAATAGTCTGTGCCAGCCTGCTGTTTACTTTTTCTTGCTTCCGTGGGGGAGTCTTAGGCAAAGCAGCTGGCCTGTAATAAAAGCCTTGATGTCTTGGTTGGGTTCTCTTTGCTTCCTAGCCACAGTTTTGTGACTAGGAGTGATCATGCCTTATTAAGTCACAGTGAACTTCATAGACAGGGCTGTCTGTAACTGAGCCTTGAAATGTGCACCCTGACAGGCTGCATTTGAGAACTGTGCTACCATGTGTGCCCACTGACTGGTGCTAAGATGTCCCTCTTGAGTATCCTTTATAAAACAGTACTCTACAATAATGGCGAGATTGAATCCCCTACAGGGCCTTTGTGGGTGGGAGCTGCCAGGTGGACTACTTCCCCTTCGTCCCCCTCTCCATACACACAAGGCTTTTTATGAATGGGGAGGTTTCTTTTGTAATGCTCTTGTTCTGTTGTTTCTAGTTTCCAGTTGACAGTGGAGATGTTTGATTATTTGGAGTGTGAGCTGAACCTGTTCCAGACAGGTAAGACTCCTACTTCAGTTAACTAGCAGCTTGTTCTATGTTGTTGACATACATTAAAAAAACACAAGCAAACTTGTGGCCTGCCCTTCTGAGAGAAGCTCTGGTAGCAAAATGAAGACAAGCATCTATGTATGGGAGTGAGTTTAGACTTGGTGTTCCAGTTTAAAGGTGTGTGAATTTGGTGTCCCAGTTTAAAGGGCCGTGTGTGTGCATTTGTACTCATTGGGAGAGGTGTGGGATTATCTTTTGGGGGGACATTGGTATCTGTGTGTGTATCTTTGGCGGGGGGTCCATATGTGTGTGTCCTTGAGTCTATATGCATGTCCTACTGAGTTTCAGGCTACAAGAGAGGAGTTGACTGAAAGCATCTAAGCTCATCTGTTTTCCATGCGCTCCACCAGAGTTGTTATTAGCTGAAATTATTTCATGTAAGAGAACCTGTGCCTGGCTCTTTCCATTCCACCTTAAACCCAGCCTTTCCACCTTCCCTCCAGCAGCTCTCCTGCATCCATGTTAAGTTTGCAGGAAGCCTCTTGTACCTCATATCACTCTACACTTCCTGTCTGTGTCCTCCATGTTTTTTTCCCTGTCTCCAAGTCTGTCACTCTGTCAGCCTCCTAGAGTTTGATTTCTTCCTTTCTCTTGTTACCTCTGGGTGTTAGGGTTGGTTATGGTTTTTACTAACACTTTTCTTGTTCCAGATGTATCAAAGAGGTACTGCTGCACTTCAAAGTTTGCTGTGGTAGAGGGAATGCAGCTGGTTCTGTGATGCATGCTCCTACAGATTGTAACTGAGTGAGAGAGAAAATAATGAACCTGTCTGTATGATCGGGGGCTCAAGTGCTCAGCTGTAATATACCTCTGTGCAGAGCCATAGGATTCTGTTTTGGGGCAAATTAAAGCAGCACCAGAGCAATTACCTTTTTGATGTGCTGTATAGGGCCTTGGGCCTTGTTGCTATATACATAGACGAGGCATGTAATGACCTTGCATCAGATGTAAAGCAATTTGTCACTGCATGGAGGTTCCTGGAAGGTTTGATTTAATGTAAGAGAGGTAATATAGTTGGTTCCTAGCACAGAGGGCTCTCAGAGGATGTGCTTGATTAGTCAGAATAGTACAGTCACCTCTGTGCTAAAAGCTAGAGAAACCGGGCTAGTGTACAGCAAAGATAATGCAGCCATGTCTCAGTGCTGAAGGGCCTGAGAGACTGTGCTGCTACGTGTTTTATGGAATGCAGTCATGGCCCTAAAAGCAGACTCTAGTGCAGTATCACCAGTTTATCTTCCGGTGAGCAGCTGCACATATGCTGGAGTATAGTGGAGGTAATGCAGCCAGCTGCCCAGACTGCAGGTTGCCAGAATCTGGGCTGGGATATAGCTGAAGTGACCTGGTCATGTCTGTTAGTGGTTCACAGCACAGTTACTGAGTAGAATAGACAGTTATGCCTGTTTGTCATTTTCCCAGAGGCTGTGGTATAGCAGAGATGATGCTTTTGTCCCTTATGGGAGTTGTCGTGTGATATAGCTTGGGTAATGCAGACGTTCTTGGAGGTGCACGGCTCAGGTTGCTATGATGAGAGTTAGCAGGAGCAGTTCATAAATCCTACCATATCTCAGTACTCTTAGCAGCCTTGTGTCCTGATAGAAGACGACAACGTGCTATGGAGCAAGCTAAGAATGGACAAGAAAAAGAAATGGGTCCAAGGATCAAACCCCCACCAGCAAGTGATCCTGTTGCAGGTGCTGGAGGAGGTTGTTTGCCCATAGACCAGTGATTCTCAGCCAGGGAGTCATGGCACTCTGGGGTGCCTTGAGATCCTTTCACGGTGCTACACAGTGTTGGTACTCTTAGATTTGCAAACATGATTGAAAAGATAAATCCAGAAATTTAAAATAGGAATCCATAGTGTTAAAACATTCTGACCTGTTGTGGGCTTTCTGAGTTGTTTGAAACAAAGTAATTGCTCTATTACTTTTCTATAGTAAAAAAAAGAGTGAAAGCTAAGAACTGGCATTTTTTGAGGGGTAACTTGAGTGTGTTGAGGCATACCTTTCCTCTAAAAAGGGTGACAATGCCTGTCTAATATGTGTAGTCAATGGAATCTCACTGAACTGAACAGCCTCTTCCATCTGAGACTCTCCAAGTACTGTCCCTGGTACCAACTGGGTTTTGGTCCCCCATACTAGGGTTTTAACTTGCTAATGCAGGGAAAGCCTGGGATCATAATCCAAGGCTCCCCCTGCATTGGCAAGTAGGGACTAGATCTCAATTGTGCCTTAATTCCAAAATCACATGTCCTGCCATGCAGATTGGGCAAATACTAATGAACTGAGCCTCCCAGTGTACAAGATGGTAGAATGAGGGATATGGGGCTGTTCAGGGACTTGACCGAGGTCACAAGGCAAGTTTCTGGCAGATAGAAGACCTAAATTTCCTGACCATCAGCCCTAGACTTTTAGCTTTGTGCTCCTTTCCTTTCCCCCACATCCATGATTCCCTGACTGCTGTCTGTGTACTGCTGTGCAGTAGTACAAATGCAGTTGTGTCTCCAAGTGTTCTGGGTTTTCTCTATCCTCCCTACAATGTCTCTGCAACCACACATTGCATCTCTGGCACTCCTCCATGCATACTACAGCTAGAAGCTTTTTAGTGGTGTTGAATTTCATCTTTTAGCTGTTAGCCCAGGGGTGGGCAAAATACAGCCTGTGGGCCAAATCTGTCCCACCAGCTGACTGGATCCAGCCCACAGCTGTATTCTCAGTGCTCTACATGGGGCTGAGCCCAACCTGCTCCGGCCAGGGCAGCTGATGCCACGCTCCTTCCAGTCCAGGCCCTGGCCAGCACACAGCTTCTGGCAGGGCTGTCATGTCTGCAGCTAGCTGAGTGCTGCTTTGCTCTCTCACCTCCAGTGGAGACCGCCCAACTGAAGCGTCCCCCAACTCGCCTGCCCAGAGCAAAGCAACAGGGGCAGGGGCAGGAGCAGGAGGAGGAGCCACTGTTGGAGGCAAGAGGAAGAGAGCAGCACATGGCCAGCTGGAGCTGCACCGGGAACAGCCCCACAGCTGTGTGTGCTGGCCAGGAGAGGCTATTCTGCTCCCCTCACTTATATTGGCGGCTCCTCCTCCTACCCCTTCTGTGCCACTCTGAGCAGAGGGGGGAGAGGGAAGTTTCAGCTAGGTGGTTCCTGCCCTACCACCTGGAGCTCCAACACCAATTCCTGACTGCCTTTCACCTGCTCTGCCCACCTGGTGTGATGAACAGCCAGCCACCCGCAAGCAGGTGGAAATCTGCTGGGAGCTGGAGTCAAAGCCCCACCTGTTGGGGCAGGAGCCACCCAGCTGAAGCTTCCCTCCTGCCTGCTTGTGTGCCAGGAGCAGCATAGCAGAGGCAGGAGCAGGACCAGCAGCTGCAGCTGGAGGTGATTAGAGAACAGCCCCACCAGCCCGGGCCCCAGCTAGCGTGTGCAGCTTCCAGATGTACCAGAGAGTGGAGTTGTTCTCAGTGTGACTGCAGCCAGCCATGTGCTGCTCTGCTCCCCTCACCCTCAGCAGCAATTCCTCCTGCCCCTTCTGCATCCCTCTGGTGGTGGGGGGAAGGCGGGGAAGCTTCAGCCTGGTGGCTCCTGGAAGTGAGGGGAGCAGAGCAGCACCCAGCTGGCTGCAGCCACACTGGGAACAGCTCCACCAGAAGCTGCATGCTGACAGGGGCCCATGGCAAAACTGGGGCTGGGGCTGGGGCCAGCAGCTGCGGGTGAGAGCATGGTATGGGCTGCCCTGGGTGGGACTTGGCTCCATGCAGAGTGCTGCGAGGGTAGCCACGGTCCAAGCGAGCTCTGCTGCATACACTTCCCACCTCCCCCTCCCTCCCCTCACCCCTGGCTGGCTCCCAGGCATCCCCACCTTCCACACATAACCATATGCTGCCCACACCCCTCCTCCCCCTCCCCCACCATTCCCATGCAGGAGGTGGATCACACCCGTCCCATTGCTGGACACTGCTGCAGGGGTGGGAGCATGCGGACGCAGCCGACAACAGCATATCAAAACTCACTATGTGGCCTTTGGGCCCAAATAATTACCCTGTATTAACCAAGTGAATTAAGTAGAAATAATGTCAGTTATACTCGTTTACATGTCATTAGTGTACTTTAGATTTTGATTTACTGTTAAAATGCCTTTCAACCTCCCTCATAATTATGGAGGATGTCAGTTCATTACCTTCTATGCTCTGAAGGGGAGGGCAGGTTGGCAGAATTTAAAATAGTTCCCTAGAGCATTAGTACGCATGCTTGTGCCTCAGTGCCGGATGCTTTTAAAAGCATGTGGTGCTGCGGCGCATGCAGTTGTATAAGCAGTGAAATGCACGTCAGTGCTGAGAAAATGGCAGCAGCGTGCTTTTGAGCTAAAACACACTGAAGGTGTTTTAGTTCAAAAGTGCACCGCTGTCATTATTTGCACACTGATACTCATTTTGCCACTTATACAACTGCACATGGTGCAGCGCAGTGCATGTCAGCTCGCATGTGGAGCAGACTTAATTAATCTAGTCTGCTCCAACCTGCTGGATCCCAGCTCATTGCAGGACAAAAAGGTATGTGTATAAATGCCTCTAGGTCCTGAAACCTGAGCATGGCTGAAGTTCTGATTGCCCTTTGGTGTTCAGCATTAGGTAAGGTAAGAGCAGGCATAAGAGGTGCATTTGTACGATGGTCCCCAGGGAAAAATATAATGCTCCTCCTTGGGCCTCTGATATACATTACATTTAAGACACAATCAACAGGCTAATCACACCTTACATAGTAACCTGGCCACATGTGCAAGTCAATTTAAGGCATAATAATACAGTAAATGAGCCACAAAGTAATTCTGCACATTATGTGTAATAGATTTGTGGCTCATTTTTCATCATGCCCTAAACTGAATAAATGGCCAGTTGGTGCTGGCCCATGGCAGATACTAACATTGGGATGAGGCCCAGTCCAGCATGAGGCCAAGGGT